CCCACACACACACACACTGCAGAGACGCTGCTGTTCTCTCCCCCACTCCCCAACTTGCCAGGCTTTTTCCCACCTAGGGATTTGCACCAGGTATTCTTTCTTCCGGGAATGTTCTTCCCACCCACCTTCAAATGCTGGTCCCTCCTGCTCCTTTTAATCAGATCTGAGTATAAATGTCACTCCTCACACAGGGGCCATCTCTGGTTCCTCTCCATCGTTATCCCGTGACCATGTTTCATCATCTTGGTACTTACTGCTGTCTGAACTCAATTCTATTTGTCCACACATCCACTGTGAATGTAAATATAGTTTCTGCACTGAAACTTATGTTCATTAGGCCAGGAATTCTGTCTTCTTTGACACTGGATCCTGAACCTAGAAAAGTATCTGGCACACAACAGAGGTCTATCAATATTTGTTGAATTATCATAGAATGATGCCATATTGACCAGGATAATTTTAAGTGACACCCAGCTTCACCAAGAAGAACCCTCTGCCGGTTACTAGCCGTATAACTTTGGACAAATTCCTTATTGTCTGAGTCACAACTTACTCGTATGTCAAATAGTGCTACTTACCTCATAGGGCAGGTATCAATTGAGGATTAAATGAGGTGCCTGACAACTCAATAAAGTCCAATGATAGCGAACCTATGACATGCGTGTCAGAGGTGTCACACGAACTCCTTTTTTTTGGTTGATTTTTCTTCGTTAAATGGCATTTAAATATATAAAATAAATATCAAAAATATAAATCTTTTGTTTTACTATGGTTGCAAATATCAAAAAATTTCTATATGTGACACGGCACCAGAGTTGTTAGGGTTTTTCAAAATGCTGGCACGCCGAGCTCAAAAGGTTCGCTATCACTGCAATAAATATTTGAAAAAAGGTAGCTAATTTTCTGTTATACATTTTCATACTTAATGTATTCATTAGTTTTCCAAAGGTTCCAGATTTTTTTTTAATCTGTAAATGTTTATATTGGCTTTTCTCTGGATGACAGAGTGTTTTGGTCAAAACTCACAGGTTACATTTTCATCTAAATTAACTCTTCATTTTTCAGTAGTTTGTTCCTCTCCTCCATTGTCATTTTTCACAAAGAAACGCATTTTTCTATCAGTTGCAAAGAAGTCACTGTAATGTGACCTTCGGGGGGGCACAGGGGACGCGGGGCGCGGGGAGACAAGGTGGGAATGCTGATGCTGAGCAGTCAACCAGAGTTTACATCCGGGCCTTCCCAGAGGACTGTTCAGAAGGGTCACAAACAGAGCCAGGACTCCACTGCACTACCAGGGGCTGTCGGACAGGCGTGCTTCCAGGACCAAAACAAGCAGACATTGTTTCTGACACTTTAATTGCTCATGAACTGTAAAAACTAATCCACACGGCTCATCATAGGACCGCACCTTTTACAGGAGAAAGGGTCTCAGATGTCATTAGTCTCAGGATCCCTTCTCAGCCCACTTCCTTCTCCCTCCCCTGCGCACTCGCCCTTCCACCAGCCCAGCGCTTCCCCGGGACACTTGCCAGTGTAGTGTCCCTCTGCTTTGGTTGAGTAAACAAAAGAGCACTTGAAGGCTGCCTTTGTAGCTTTCTCAACGCCACATGAAGAAAATGGGGTTTTGTTAAATAGGCTTAGCTCCAGAGGGTTTGCAGAGATCCCCGCTTCATCACCATGAAGCAGAATATGTTTATCAAAAAGCCTTTTAAATTTAATCTCAGTGACTTTCTTAACTGAATCGTGAAAGTGCAAAACGCTCTTTTTAAAATTCCCAAGTCCTCCCCTCAGTTCTCTTTTGTGATGAAGAGAACATCCAACCTTTTCTAGAATTTCTACTTTGAATCCAAATTGCTTTAACAGTAGGTGGTGCTCCAAATGCAGAAATAAGTGTGTATAGATCAATAGAACCGTCACAGCTTTTATTTCTTCGTGACTCATTACAACACAGAAATACGCTTTTAATACTTCATATAAAGTTATAGACAATACAAATGTTTTTCTTTTTTTCCCCCTTTTAATGAAAATGATTTAACTTAGAAATCTATTGTGAAACTTTTGTCTAGTTTTGCAATTCTCAGGTATTCCAGTGCAAAAATAGATCCCATCACAGACAACATAAAGTGCTTGGAATGAAGGGCCGATGATAAAGAAAAAGCACAAAAACATAGCTTCATCCTAGGGTTTCGGAAGGAAGAATAGAATACCTAGTCCTATGTAAATAGAAACATTCTATAAAAGGGATGCAACAATTTTAAAGAGAATTAGAGCACTACTCTATATAGTACTATATTATTACTATTAAGTAGTAACAAGGGTACAAATTAATATCTCAGTATCAAAGTGGTTCAATATTATATGACACATGGCTCTTTGGGAAAAAAAAATTTCCTGATATATACAACCACACGAAGAAAACACAGACAAATCCCTTTAGTCAATAGTTACTATACAGTGAATGAATGATGTGCAATACTTAATAGCCACAATGCATTGCTTTCAGTACAGATAGTGAAATACAGTAGTTTGAGGTTTGGTTGTTTGTTTTTAACAATGAACTGAGCTGGGCATTTAGGTATGGAGGGCTCTGTTACTGTTTTCTCTTGTATTTTTCATATTCACAGTTGTTCATAAACTTTCCAAGATGTCCAAAAGAAGCAAAAGCAGAAATCTTTGAACACTTGAGAATTTTCTGAAACTCACATAGTTACAGTTCCACAGGGGATATATAAAGATTTTACTTGAGTAAGAGTTGGTAAAAACTTTTACTATATAATTACGTTTACATAGGAAAGTTTAAAAGGTATCTATTTGGATAACCTCAGAGGTAACAGTATTAACGAAATTGATGGTAATTGTAGATTGTTTCTAGCTTCAGAAGAGATCTTTTCAAATCTATATTGAAACATTGTTCTTTTTCAAAATGGCTCACAGTGCCTTTTGATGTTTTTTAAATATGGCCTTGAAGTCTGAGAAATTAAAGCAAAGAGTTGCTTATGGATTTGATATAGTCGAACATTCAAACATGATTCTAATAAAATGGGAAAACAGAAGTTTGATTCTGAAAAATATTATACAAGGAGAAACTAAATTATTCTATGAGTTTTACATCATTATAGATAGCATAAAATACATTGGATGATCTCTAGTATTTGGAAATACGCCTTCATTACTTGTTTATCATTTTAGAAAACAATATTGGCAATAATTTCTGAAAATCACTTTCTTTTCCAATCAACAAGTTATGTAATAACATTCTGTAAATTTTAAAAGGAAAAACTATAAATTAAAAGTAGATCTGAAATCTTACACCCTTTGAGTTAACAAATTTTAGAAAAAAGTGACAGTGAATGATCAATTGAATTTCACCAAACAGTGGTTCCCTCCTATTTTTGTTGTCTCAATACAGATGACATTAAGCATTGGTAAAATAATATTTTTTAAGTATTTACTGCCTAAAAAAATAAGACTGGGTTGGAAAAGTCTGAAATATACTTCATGTGGGGGCATTTGTTGCTTTTATTTTTTTCACGATAGGTTAGTGATTGAAGAGATGAAAAATTTGAGATTGTATGAATGAGGTGTCTAAGGTCTTCAAAGCCAATTCTTTGAAGAAGGTACTCAATGTCATAAGCACAAACTGTCTTGTTCAACAACTTTTAAAACTTGCTGTGTTCTCCAGAAAAATACTCATTGTTCAAGTCTTGTGACCCTCATGACGTTTAAACACTCTTGGCTTTTGCATTGTTGCTATTTTCAGAAAGTGGGCTGCCCCAATGCCTTTCACTGGGCTCCCACGACCACAGCAGAACCACCTATGCGTATTTGTAAACCAGTTAGCTGAATAACATGGCACCGGGGATCTGAGACTGGTTTCTCCCCACCCCATCTATCCATCCATCCATACTCATTTGGCTGTAACACAGACTCCAAAAGAAAGAAAGAAAGAAAGAAAGAAACGCAATTAATGAGCTGAGATTATTTTAAGTGACAGTAAAGAAACTTAAATGTAATGTCATGAGATCTTGACCCTCATGCTGTTTTCCGGTCACGAGGCACCAGTCGGGCGGTCACCACAGGCCATATTCTAAGGTTTCAAAAGTCACTGATAGGACTTAAAATTCCAAATAACATTAAAAGCATGAAGACTTTTGTCAAAATACAGCTCCATCTTTTCATACTCTAGAAAAGCCAGAAATACTACTACATTTTTGTCAGACAAGATCTTGAGATGCAGTGTACCGTGTTGGCAGACAGTCGGGACGAGTGGACACAGGCCTGCCCAGGTCCAAACGCACCATCGGCACCATCTCCTCCCTCCCTCACCCTGGCCCCAGCAGCCCCGACCAATTGGGTGCTGGTTCTTACCAGGACCTCAGTACATTTAAGGAGTCCCAGCAAGATGACCCTGGAGACCCATGGCTCCAAGCGAGGGACAATGTAACAATGGAGCCAAGTCTCACTTGTCTGGAGCCACCCGCAATTTGCATGTCACCATCAACCACAGCAGCTCATCAACGAGGGAAGCAGAGCAGGACTTCCCCCCCACGTGGCACCACTTTTGTCACCTGATATTTGGTGATGTCGATAAGACTCCGAGTAGCACAACTTCCACAAAAGTGTGCGTGACACACCGTGCCCCACTTGGCACTAGCAATTCCGGGGCACTCACTGCCCTCCGTGGAGGTGGCACCAGGAAACCAGTCTCCTGGCATGGCACGGTGTAATGAGCGAGGGTGTGCATGATGCCTTCTGATGTGGGCAAACAATCACTGGCCATGATGACTTGACGGATTGTTGTTGCAACCCCAGTGAGAATACAAAGGAACAAAAAACAAAAACAAATAAAAAAAAAACCCAGTATGATTTCAAACCCATATGTCCTCTGGGTTCCATACTAGAGGTTCACATAGACATAAGGTAATACACTAAATTCAAGTCTTTTTCCCTCGAGAGCCATAGGAGACATCGGCTACAAAGGCACTGCCCCTGGCATGGAATTCTGTTTGATTTGCATTGAACTGCATTGCATTGAAGAGGATCAGTACAGTATCCAGTTTACTTCTTCCCACGGAAGCGTCCGGCTCGCTCCTCTGGGCTCCTCACCCGGTGCGAAGGAAGGGCAGTCCCTCCTCTTTTTCAGCCACCCTGCAGGAACAGGAGTCTTCACACATAACTTTCTTTCACTTTCTCATCCTTCAGGAAAGATGTGAGAACTGCAACGTTCACTACTGTCTGGTTTTTGTGTAACGACAGGTCCTTCAAGGGATCGTCGTCACTTTGGTCCTTGGCAAAGTTTACAAATACCTGTCAAGAGAAAGATGGACCCTTATCAATACCCCTCGACTTGCTCTCTCTTTATTTTAGTCGCGTTTTCCCCTCTGGGGACAGGAGGGCAGGTAGGAGAATACGAGACTGCATAAACACGTTACCTAGAACACAGCTTGAAAAAGCATTAACCCTTCAAAAATTAAAAACCCTCTACATTGACCCCCCACTCACCAACTGCTCAATCATCTATTTGCTTTGGCTTATACAGGCGTGATGGAAGGGAAGAGGGACAAACACGAACATTTACTGAAGACCTACTAAGTGCCAAGATCTGTTTGCTGTTATTTAACTGGGATAAGGCACCCAGGCAAAATGTCTGGCCCAGGGCAGGTACTCAATAAATGGTAGTTACTAAGATGATGATTACCAGCTATTCTCCTAACAACCCTATACAGTAAGACAGCCTCATCGCCCTTTTCAGATTCAAAGAGGCTTGGTAGGAAATGGCTAGCAGTAGAAGCTGGGGAATTCAAACACATCTAGTCTGCACTGCTCTAGGGCCCAGAATAGGGTGAGGGAAGGAGCAGGACTCCTCTCCCTAGAAAATAAATCTACTGTTGCTCTTCCACGCTTACTTGGTCTAGTGTTGTCTGCGAGACAGAGTAGTCTTCTATGTGGAGGCGCTTCTTGCTCTGGGAGAGGATGCTGAAGATCCTGGCCAGGGACGACAGCGAGGACGGGAGCTGGTACTGCAGCATGTTGCGGTGCTTTTCCTTCAGGACGCTGCCCGGGAAGGCCAGCCCGAAGAACTCCTGGACGGGCTTCAGGTCCGGGTTGGACCCTGCTATGCGGACAACTATCGTATACCCGTCTCCAAACCTGAGAGCAGAGAAGCAAAGTCCAATGGAGGATCCTCCGGAAACTTATCAAAAGAAGAATTAAAACGAAAGGTCCCTGACAGACCCAGAGTAAGAATCAGAGAGAGGGAACTAGTAGCCACTTACTAAGGACCTGCTCTAGGTGGGATGCCATGCTGAGGGCCTTAGACACATGGCTTCACTCCATCCTCACCTGCACCTCGAAGCCTGACAG